GCCCATGTAGCAAGGAATTGAGGCTTTCTGCCCATCACCCATACTGACTTGCCAGTGCACCACCTTGGAAGCAGATTCTCCAGCCCCAGTCGTGCCTTTAGATGACTGCAGCCCTGGCTGATATTTGAATTGCAACCTCATGAGAGTCTGAGCCAGAACTGTCCAGCTAAGCCACTTCCAAATTGCTGGCCCACAAAAACTGTGAAATAAATGTTTATTGTCTGTAGCCACTACATTTTAGGGTAATTTGTTACACAGCAATGGGTAACTGTCAGACTGCACCATCATGATGTATGAGGGAACTTCTCTGACGGGCATCTTCTCTCTGATCCACCCCCAGACTTGAGGGACAAGCTGTCTCAGCTCTCAGATCCCTAAATTCAAAGAGGACTTCGTGGTGGTCATTACGACCACACACAAATACCCCAACACTCTCTCCTTCTGGGCACGTGAAGGATTGCTCTTGCTTATTCTTAGGAAGTTAGGTGTGGTCGTGTAACTCGATTGGGTCAATGAGCAGCTGTCACTTGTGGGTGGAAGCATGTAAGATGACGGTGGGGTTTGCTCTTTTTTTCTTCTGCCAGAGCCCAGATCAGCCAACCGTCATGACATGAGTGTTAAAGAAGTTTGTGCTTTTATGCTGCTGAATTGTTGGGCTGTCCGTTAACAGCAGAATAACCCAGCCCACCCTAATACGGACGTCTTTCATGTCCCTCACTCCTGCCAGACTCAGGAAGCCCCAAGTTCACATCCAAATAAGTTGTTTTCTCTGTTTCTTGCATCTCTTCCACTGCCCCCACCCCAAGCTTGAAGGGTCCCCCGCTTTGCTTTCAATTTTTACTAAGGTCTGGTGCAGAAGTGTAAGTAAATGATCATCTTCAGTTCATGAAACATAAAAATACCAGGTACTTAGTGCTTGCTACATACTATTCTAAGCTATACATTTTACATTATTTAATCCTTGAGACAACCCTGTGATGTAGGGACTATCATTATCCCATTTCGTCGATGAGGCAACTGAGGCACAGAGGGGTTAGCTAATTTGCCTGAGGTCACCCAGATTAGGTTACAAAGCTGACCCCAGCTGTAGCCTTCACCCTCACTGGTTCACACTCAATCCCGTACTAGTTTTATTTCTTACTCACATCCCTACCACCTACTCTCCTTTTCTTTCCCTGCCCGAAGCCACCATTCTATCATGTTTATTGGGCAGCCTTTTGTTTGCAGGTATTCTTACACATTGTTTATTTTTGTTTTGTATGGGTGAGTTTTAAATTTATGTCAATGGTATTGACACTCTGCTTTGTTGCTGTTTTCACTCAAGCTCCATTCCTGTCACCATGTGGACAATCTTGTCTGTTGCTTCCAGCTGCTGCAGAGTCCTCTGCTGTAGACACCCATGGGCACCTGCACCTCCCGTGTGACACTCACTCAGGTTGCCTTTGGCTCCCACCACCACGAGCAGCACTGCCATGAACACCCTTGAGCCTGCTGGGGGAGTGTGGGAACTTCCTCAGCCACTCTACCAAAGAGTCGAATTGCTGGGGTGTGAAATCGGATGATAACTACGTTTTACCAAATTCCTCTTAAGCGTGGCTGCATCCGAGAAACAAAACCAGTTCCGTGTCCTAATTCTTCCTGCTTCACACCTGGACCTGAGGGTTCAGGGCTCAGGAGCCGAGGAATGTGCAGCCTTTGTTTCCCATCCCATTCTGACAACTCCTGAGGACAAATAACAGCCCCTTGACCAGTTGCCTGAAAGAGGGATGGTAATAAGGGAAGACGAGAAGGACGTGCAAGTTAATCAGGTTCAAATCTCAAATTATGGTCCCCAACACATTAGCCAGTATTATAAGTGGCTAATCCTGGGGAAGGTAGGCGTTGGCAGCTGGAAGCCTTTGCTTCTCTCACCTGAGAATTCACCTGAGATTCAGGTGGGGGAAGAGAAGGAAATGTCACTCGGGTATGAGCCCCCTCTTGTGGTCTAATATCCCCATTACACCCTCAAAGATTTTTGACTCCCATTAACCCCCAGTTAATTTAATCGCACCTAATTTAATTAAAATGCTAGGTATTGGGTGTCTTCTACATGCTAGACCAGCGATGTCCAATCAAAATATAAGGGGAGCTCCGTAAGTAATTTCAAACTTTCTGCTATCCACATTAGAAAAGTAAAACGAACGGGCTGGGCTGTTAGCTCACTCAGAGTGTGGTGCTGATAACACCAAGGCCAAGTTCAGATTTTTTTTATTTTTATTTTTTTTAAAGATGACCGGTAAGGGGATCTTAACCCTTGACTTGGTGTTGTCAGCACCGCACTCTCCCGAGTGAGCCACGGGCCGGCCCCCACCCGCAGCTTTTGAAATCTCAAGACAGCGCGTGTCAATTCAGACTCTACCTTTTCATTAAAAATACGTGATATGTATTTAGATTTCATAACATTCGCAGTTGAAGAAGTACATTTACATACTCGGGTTGTTCCAAACACATTTAAAAGTTTCCCAATATCTGAATTGAGGGCTCTTTTTTTTTTTTAAATACATTTAAGTATAAATTAATTAAAATTAAAAGTTCAGTTTCTCAGTCACACCACATTCCACGTGTTCAGTAGCCTCATGCGGCTACCATATTGGACCATTGGTTTATGCCATTTCACCCTGATGATAAAGTAGGCACATTATTATTTCTATTTTACAAGGGAGTAAACTGAGGCTCAGCAAGAACGGACGTTTTTCTTTTTTTTTATTCAACGAATATTCATTGAACACCTACCATATGCCAGGTCCCTTCCATGGTTCTTTGCCTCAAGTAATTTACTGGACTGATATGGGAGAGAGACAAAAAAGGAAAGAAAAATATTGATAAATTATAATGAAGGAAACCAACAGGTCAGTGAATTAGAGCCACAGTTAGCCAACTATGGCCCGCAAACTAAGAATGGTTTTTTTGGGGGTTTTTTTTTTTTTTTTTTTTTTCGTATTTTATTGTATGTAGTTGCTTTAAAAAAATTTTTTTTATTGAAATACATTGATTGTTCATATATATGGAGTACAGAGTTATATTTCAATAGGTTTTTACATTTCTAAATGGTTGGAAAAAGTCCAAAGAAGAAGAATTTTTTTTTTTTTTTTTTTAAAAGATGACCGGTAAGGGGATCTTAACCCTTGGCTTGGTGTTGTCAGCACCACGCTCAGCCAGTTAGCCAACCGGCCATCCCTATGTGGGATCCGAACCCGGGGCCTTGGTGTTATCAGCACCGCACTCTACCGAGTGAGCCACAGGTCGGCCCAAGAAGAAGAATATTTTGTGACATGTGAAATGACATGAAATGGGCCGGCCCATGGCTCACTCGGGAGTGTCTGGTGCTGACAACACCAAGTCAAGGGTTAAGATTCCTTTAAAAAAAAAAAAAAAAAGAAATGACACGAAATTCAAATTTCATTGTTCATAAATAAAGTTTTTTTGAAACACAGCCATGCTCATGTATTTCCCTGTTGTCCGTGGCTGCTTGCCCGCTACAATAGCGACAGAGAACATAGGACCCACAAACACTAAAATATTTACAACCTGGCTCTTCACAGAAAAAGAATTTGCTGACCCCCAAAATAGAGAATAACAGAAGCAGACATGCTCTACAGATGGCAGTCCGAGAGGGCTTCTCAGAGGAAGTGGCATTGGAAAAGAGTTAGAGACATTTGGGGAGGTCTGAATATATACAGTGTTGAGCCAATGTTCAACTTCCTGAGTGTGATAACCGTACTGAGAGTTTTCTAGGAGAAGGTCCTTGTTCTTAGGAGATACACACTGAAGAATTTAGGGGTGAAGTGTCACGATGTCTGCAAGTTAGTTTCAAGTAGATCAAAACAAACAAACATATTTATGGTGCTATGAAGGAAATTGACAGAAGAATAAATTATACATAATTATACTTTTCCTCTCCACTCCTCTCCTCTTCCCTCCCATCCTGCAATGAACTGAATGTTTGAGTCGCTCAAAATTCATTGTTAAAATCCTAACTCCCATTGTGATGGAATGAGATGAGGCCCTGGGAGGTGATGAGGTCCTGAGGGCAGAGCCCTCAGAAGTGGGATTAGTGCCCTTATAAAAAGGACTCCCAGAGAGCCCTCTCACCCTTTTTCAGCTATGAGGATACAAGGAGAAGACAGCCTCACCAGAACCGGATCATGCTGGCACCCTAATCTCAGACCCCCAGCCTCCAGAACTGTGAGAAATGAACTTCTGTTGTTTATCAGCTACCCAATCTACGGTCCTTTGTTAAAGTAGCCTGAACTCAGGCAACTTTCCTCTTCTTGAGGAACTCTCATATCACACTGAGTTGTTGCTTCCCAGCACGTGATGTCGTTTGTCATCGTTTTATTTCATTCATTCATTCATTCATTCATTCATTCATTCATTTATATATAGAGAGAGATGACCAGTCAGGGGATCTTAACCCTTGTGTTGGTGTGGTCAGCACCACACTCTCCCAAGTGAGTCACGGCCGGCCCTCAACGTTTCATCTACTAATCTGTTCGCCTGGTTTTACTCGCCTCTCCCTGCCCAGCCCCTCCCGCTCCTGCTAGACGGAGCTCCATGACCAGAGACCACTCCCATCTTACTTCAGGCTATCGCTGGCCCCTGACACATAGTAGGTGCTCCACTGACATTCGTTGAACAAGCAAATGTGAACTCCACGGTGGTAGACCCTGTCTCTGTCTCAGCTCTATATCTTGTGTCTAGAACAGGGCCTGGCACATAGTAGGTGCTCAATAAATATTTGTTGGATTAATGACCTTAAGTGCCCAAAGGGCAGGGACCGCCTGTTTTTCTCAGTTCTAACTCAGTTCTGAGCATGGAACAGTGCTTGAACATAGTAGGTGTTCCATAAATATGTGCCGAGTGACCGAATGTACGTTCCGAAAGGACAGGGCAGAGACTTCTTCCGTTTTTTCTTGACGCCCTCCCTGGGGCTCTCTCTACGACGTCACAAAGGCCCCGCCATGCTTCTGTCCCCCGCCCTTCTGCTGCTCTTGGGCTGGAGCGCCCCCGGCGGCTGGGGCTGCCTGCAGTGTCACCGCACGGTGCAGGAGGCCCTGAGCCAGCTGCGCTTCGCCCTCGTCCCCAAGCGCTTCAACCTGGAGCAGCTGCAGGCCCGCGCTCAGGCGCTGCTGCTGGGCATGGAGGGGCCTTTCTTCCGAGACTATGCACTGAACGCGTTTGTGGGGAAAGTGGGTGCGTGCTGGGGGGTGGAGGGGGAAGTCGGGGTGGCCCGCGGCTTGGGTGGGAGACAGATGCCGTGGGGAACATCTGTCTCCAAGAGGGGCAGGGCGAGGCCGGGGCTGGAGGAGGCGGGGGTCCAGGGACCCACTGGAATTTCCTTCCCTCCCTTCCCCAGGGTTGGAGGAACTGGACGCCGTGGCATCCTTTACCAAGAACCAAACACAACACCTCATGGTTGATTCTCTGAGAGGTAGGAGCCAAGCGGGACAGTCTTTTCTCAGCACCCTTCCGCCACGCCTCCCCTGGACGTGTAAATAAAGGCAAACACGCGTGAAGCCTTTGCTGTGTGTCCGGCACGGTTCTAAGTGCACTAGGTAGGAAGGTAGACGCCAGTTCGCGGAGGTGGGCACTGTCGTGATCTGCACTTCACAGAGGGGGAGACTGAGGACCGGAGAGGTTAGGTGACCTGTCTGCTAATTCACCCAGCTGGGAAGTAACAGAGCTGAGGACTTGTGCCTGGGACGTCCAGCTCAGACACGGTATTCCTAAGCACCGCCCCTCGGGTGCCTCTTCTGGTTTTGGATTCAGTGACTCCTAGGACGCCATTCACAGGGTTAGTCGTGGAAGTATGGTGGTTATGACAATTCCCCAGTACAGGGCAGTAGAGGGTCCTGTGGACAAGCCGGTGTGTGGCGCAGGGCTTCGGGGGCGCCGATCAGAATTAAACTGTTTAGTTTTCAATTTCTTCTCCGCCTCTCCCCACTTTTAAATAATGAACGTGTAATAGTCATAGAATCAGGAAGAAATAATAACGTTAATTATTGTAAAAAAAAAAAAAACTTTTTCAATTTTTGGAATGACCTTACCATTTAGTGACTATGCTTTTTGTTTTGTTTTGTTTTGTTTTGTTTTTGGACCAGTAAGGGGATCTCAACCCTTGACTTGGTGTTGTCAGCACCACGCTCAGCCAGTGAGCGAACCGGCCATCCCTATATGGGATCCGAACCCGTGGCCTTGGTGTTATCAGCACCGCACTCTCCCGAGTGAGCCACGGTGCCGGCCCTACCGGTCATCTTTTAAAAAAAAAAAAAAAATGCAGACATATGTAGTCCCCTTTAACCAGACTCAGGCCCCTTCCTGGGAATTAAACAGAATTAAATACTGTTCTCAGCTGAGGAGCAGGAAGGGAGGTTGTGTTTTCATTCTAGACCTTTGAGAGACGTAGTAGAGATTAGAGTAGAAGCCCTGAGGGCAGACTGCTCTGGATCCAAAGCCTGGCTAAAACAATGAACAATGTGAATGTACTTTAACACCACTAAACCATATGCTTAAAAATGGTTAGGATGGTAAGTTTTATGTTATGTATTCTTAACCACAATAAATAAAAGATTTCATTTATATAAAATGTCAAGAATAGGCAAACCCAGGCAAACAGAAAGTAAACCAGTGGTTGCCAGGAACTTGGAGCGGGGGGGTGGGTGCAGGGAGAGATTGAGGAATTACTGCTGATGGCTACAGGGTTTCTTTTGGGGGTGACAAATATGTTCTGGAATTACAGAGCCTTGTTAATATATTGAAAAAAAAAACTGAATTGTATGCTTTAAAGGATGAATTTTATGGTATGATTCGTATCTCAATTAAAACTTTGATACAAGAAAAGAAAATCTAAGAGTGGGATCTGGTGTTTATGCCAGAAATGAAAGGGAGGGGAAGGATAGGAAACTGGTGATTATGAGAAACTATGCAAATACTATGCACTGACTCCCCCATTCACAAACATTCTATTGTGGCTGCAGACAATCACGTGCCACAGTTGTCTTAAGCCAAGGGTGGGCTTCATGCCTGGAGATCAAATATTTGAGCAAAATATATGTATTAGTATTATTCTTTCAAGGTCCATCCATGTTGTTGCAAATGGCAGTATTTCATTCGTTTTTATAGCTGAGTAGTATTCCATTGTGTAGATATACCACATTTTCCGTATCCACTCATCCGATGATGGACATTTGGGCTGATTCCAGCTCTTGGCTATTGTGAAGAGTGCTGCAATCTTAAGCAAGCTATTTAACCTCTTTGTACCTGCTTCCGCATCCGTAAAATGGGAAAATAACAGCACCTCATAGTCACCAAGAAGAGTAAATGACTGTAGAACAGAGACTGGCACACAGTAAGTGCTCAATAAATGTTAGTTATATAGGGCTGGCTCGTGGCTCACCTGGGAGAGCATTCTGCTGACAACACCAAGTCAAGGGTTAAGATCCCCTTACCGATCATCTTTAAAATAAAGAAAAGAAAAAAAAGGAAAATAAAAAAATAAATGTTAGTTATTAAGATTATTATGCTGGATCTCACTTCTCTGACTAGGGCAGGGGTCAAGACAACTATAGCTGGTAGACCAGATCTGCCAGCCTCCTGTTTTTGTGAATAAAGTTTTATTGGAACACAGCCACACTCATGTGCTTACAGATTGTCTGTGGCTGGGTTTTGTTCTCCAAAGCAGAGCTGAGTAGTTGTGATGGTGACTGTATGACCCTCAAAGCTGAAAATATTTACTATCTGGACCTTAACAGAAAAGGTTTGTTGAGCCCTGGTCTAAAGCAGCAGATCTCAACTAACCGCTGCATGTTGCCCAGATGGCAGCCCAGGCCAGTTACATCAGAATATCTGGTTGGGCCTGAATATCAGTAATTTTTATTTTTTCTTTTTAAAATTTTTTTGGCAGTTGGCTAGTATGGTAGACATCAGTAATTTTTTTTTCTTTTTTAAGATGACCAGTAAGGGGATCTTAACCCTTGACTTGGTGTTGTCAGCACCACACTCAGCCAGTGAGCGAACCGGCCATCCCTACATAGGACCCGAACCCGTGGCCTTGGTGTTATCAACACCACACTCTCCTGAGTGAGCCACAGGCCGGCCCGACATCAGTAATTTTTAAAAATCTCTGCAGGTGATTTTTATTTTGAAAAAATTTAAATAGAAAAGTTGCAAGAAGAGTAAATGAACACCTTGTACACCATTTGTTAACATTTTGTCACATGTTAATGTATTATCGCATTTGCTTTCTGTGTGTGTGTGTGTGTGTGTGTGTGTGTGTGTGTGTGTGTGTGTGTGTGTGTACCATTTGAGGGTTAGTGGCAGACATCACAAATCTCAACCCTAAATTCTTCGGTGGGCATCTTCTAAGAACAAGAAAGGACATTCTCTTACACAATGAGAACTAGAAAATTTAACTTCAAGTCCATACTATTCAGTCCTCAGTTGAATTTGCCCAGTTGTCTCAATGATGCCCTTCGTCACTAGTTTTCTTTCAGTCCTTGATCTGTTCTGGCAGTCATGCATGACATGTTGTCTTTTATGACACTGACATTTTTGATGAGCCCAGGCTAATCATTTTGCTAACAATCCCTAATTTAGATTTATCTGATTGTTTCCTTGGGATTAGATTCAGATCGTGCCCATTTTTCAAAACCATCACAGGTATGACTGTGTGTGCCTCTCGGGGCATCTGATGCCAATGAAGTGTGCTTGTCTGGTTATGGTGGAGTCTTCCAGGTTTCTCCTCTATAAAGATACCTTTCCCTCTTTTCCATTAGTGGTCTGTGCTATGAGATTGTGAGGCTGTGAGAATGCCACATTCCCAACAGTCTTTCCTCCCAAGGTTTTAGTCTCCATCAAGGATCCCTGCCTCACTTTACCCAGGTAATTCTAACACGTGGCTTGAGTTGCAAATTTTGCATCTAGATATAAAATGTCTGGTTCCTCTTTCATCCTTCTCTTTTCTGGTCAAGAGTGTTAGGACCCCTCCCCAATGGGTCCTGTCTGTGGCCTCTTCTTACCTCCCCCCTACAAGAACTCTCATAGGCCCCACTGATTTGATGGCATCATGGTCCCCAACAAATGCCCTATTTGTAGTGGCTCACTTTTTACGTAAAAAATGTAGGATGTGGGCCGGCCCGTGGCTCACTCGGGAGAGTGTGGTGCTGATAACACCAAGGCCACGGGTTCAGATCCCACATAGGGATGGCCAGTTCGCTCACTGGCTGAGCGTGGTGCTGACAACACCAAGTCAAGGGTTAAGATCCCCTTACCGGTCATCTTTTAAAAAAAAAAAAGAAAGAAAGAAAGAAAATGTAGGATGCAAGCTTTGTGTTTAGCTAAAAGTATCACCCCTATTTTTGTGGAGGAAAAAGAGGTTCCCTGGGGGAAAGTGACGTGATGAAGCCAGTAAGAGAGACCTAGACCCCCAAACTGGGAATCTTTTGATTCAGTGACCTGGAAGGCCACTGAGTACGTGGACATGACCTGCACTATAACAACTGGCACTTAGATAGCTATAGTCCTTTGGCTGACATAGCACTTAAAAATTTGTTCAATCTATTTATTCTACAAGTGCTTATTCGACACTTACTATATGCTAGTCCCTCTATGTTAGTCACTGTTCTAGTAGCTAGGGACACTGCAGGGCATAAAACAGACTAAAACCCCTACCTTGTGGAGGTTACATGCTAGAGGGAGAGATAGACAAGAAACAAGATAAATCAATATAATATATGCATGTGTTTGGGAGTCCCCAAGACCAATCTCAGGATCAATAATTTCCTAGAAAAAGACTCACAGAACTCAACAAAGTTGTTATACTCACAGTTATGGTTTATTACAGTGAAAGCATACAGATTAAAACCAGCAAAGGAGAGAGACTCATAGTGTAGAGCCCAGGACAGACCAGGCACAAGTTTCTTGCTGTCTTCTTCTGTGGACAGCAATTAATTCTCTCAGGAAGGAAGTGTGACAACATGCACAGAGTATTGCCAAGCCTTAGTGTCCAGGGATTTTACTGGGAGTCAGTCACATAGGCATGACTGACTTTAGTTACTCAGTCTCCAGCCCCTCTAGAGGTCAGGCTACTACCGCATGGCCCAAGGCCCCCACCATACATTACATTGCTAGCATAGACTACCTAGTGTTGCCCAAGGCTCCCAGATAAACCAAGACACTCTTAACAGGAAGGATATTCCAAGGAATTAGAGGTTACCTCCCAGAGCCAGGCAAGAGCTAAACCTTTTTTTGGAACGTGCAGGGTTTGAATAACCCAGACCTGCTGAGTTAATCCTTTATTGCACAAAATAATATGTCAAGTAGGAGGAAATGCTATGGAGAAAAGAATAAAGCAGGGACCAGGGGATAGGGAGTGATGGGAGTAGGCGTGGGGGTTGATGGGAGCTTAAAGTAGGGTGACCAAGAAAGATGTCACTAAAAGGCATCTTGTGAGAAAAGACCCAAATGATAAAGGGAAGCACCCATGAGAAGGTCTGGGAATAGAAGGTTGCAGGCAGAAAGAACAGTTAGTACAATCCCTGAGATGGGACGATGTTTGGAACATTCACAGGAACGCTGGAAGATTATCTCTGTGGACAATGACATCTCAAAGTTAGGGGGGATATTTTGAATACTGAACAAACAAGATTTGCTGCCATGCATGCTGACCAATTGCCTGTGGGATGTTAGAAAAAGAAAGGTCTCGAAGATAGCACTAAGGATTTTGACCTGAGCAGCTAGAATTATTGCAACTCCATTTATTAAGATAGAGAGGACTAGGGGGTTGGGAGTAGTTTTGGAGGAGAATATCAAGGGTTCAATTTCAGACTTACTGAGTTTGAGATGCCTGTTCAACATCTAAGTGGAGATCTTGAGTGGACAGCTGAATATATGAATATGGACTTCAGTGAGTTGTCCAGACTAGTGATACAAATGTGGGAGGCATCAGTGTTGGGAACAGCACTACCCAATAAAAATAGGATGTGAGTCACAGACAGGGGTCGCATATGTAATTTAAAATTTTCTAGTAGCCACGTTTTTAAAAAGGTAAACAGAAACAGGTGAAATTAATTTTTTTTTTTTTTTTTTAAAGATGACCGGTAAGGGGATCTCAACCCTTGGCTTGGTGCTGTCAGCACCACGCTCAGCCAGTGAGCGAACCGGCCATCCCTATATGGGATCCGAACCCGCGGCCTTGGTGCTATCAGCACCGCACTCTACCGAGTGAGCCACAGGCCGGCCCAGGTGAAATTAATTTTAATATATTTTATTTAATCCAAGATCTAAAATATTACCATTTCAAAATGCAACCAATGTAAAAATTATCAAGATATTTCACATCTTTTTTGTCCTATGTCTTTGAAATCCAGTGTACATTTTATACCTACAGCATGTCTCAGTTCAGACTAGCCCATTTCAAGTGCTTGGCAGCCATGTATAGCCAATGGCTACCATATTGGACAGTACAGGTCTAGGTAATATTTAAAGCCATGAGGCTGGATTGAAATCATCCTGGAGTGTGGACAGAGAAAAGCAGAGGAGAGGTTATCAAGTCCACTTACCAGATGAGGAAACTGAAGCCAAGGGAGGGCAGTTTAGCCAGAAGCCCACACAGTGAATCAGAAGCTACATGCAGGATTTCACAGGCCATAGATTTGCCCAGGGGACCCTGAGTAATACCTGGTCTTGGTTACTCCGGGTAAATGAAGAGGATCTTCCTCATCCCTTCTTCTGGAAGCTGCAAATGGGGGTGAGCTTGCTGGGTGCCTCCCACCCCATAAGGATCTCTTTCTCTACACAGATGAGCCTCTGCTGGAGGAGCTGGTGACTCTAAGGGAGAAAGTGACCAAGGAACTCAAGAAAGCATTAAGATCATATGAACTGAAAGGTGCAGCGTGTCTCTTCACCAAGCCCCCTTCTTCCAGTTCCCCATTGACCACCTGATCCCAGTCCCCCACTTTTTCTCCCGAACTCCTTCACCGCTACTACTCAGCCTTCTTCATCTCTCCCCAACCTTCCCTTTCTCCCCTTTCCCAGATTCTTCCTACCCTCTCCTGGTCCCATCCCCATTAAATTCTCAAATTGCCATCCCAACTTAGCTCAGCTCTTTTCTCTTGCAGCCTGTGATTCCAAAATTTGCCGTAAGTCCTGCATTTACTGTCTATCCCTCCTTTTTCTACCCTTCTACACCTTTTACCATTTACCCTAAATCAAGCCCTCATACCACATCTGCCCCAAGGCCATAGAGCACCTAGGGAGATTTGTTTTTTGAGGGCTTATAAAAATGGATGTGACCTGTGAAAAAATATTTGGGAAGTATGTAAGCCAGGACTGTTGGAAAAATGCAAAAACTAATTTTCTTCTAAGCCTGTTTTGTCCTTGAAGTAATATTTTGTCTTTGAAACAATATTTGCTTGTTACACTAGTCAGGTCACTAATAACTACTTGCATTTCTGGCTTCTGTAACCAAGCTTGCTTACCTGCCTAGACCACATGAATTCCGAAAAATGAAACTTACCACTATGCTAGCTTCATAAATACTGAGAAAATGAAATGTAAAAACCCTGGAAGAGTCTGCCTATAAAAGCTTTATAAGACCTGAGCTTGGGGTCCAGATTTCTGACCATTTGCTTGTCTGGGCCTGCCAGCATAATAAAAATACCTAACTCTGCAACCCTCTGAGTGTCAGTCACTCCCATGCCCAGTCCATTTCCATAACAGGATAAGATAGGCTGTGTTGTATTAACAAATAAATATCCACATCTCAGTGGTTTAACACAACAAAGGTTTATTTCTCTCTCACCCAAATTCCACTGAGAGTTGATTGGCTCTTCCAAGTGATGACTCAGGGATCCAGGCTGCACCCATGTTGTAGCTTCTAAGCCTGCAGCTTCTCAGCTTGCTTCAAAAGGGAAAGAGAATAGAGAATCACACTGGGAGTTTTAAGACCAGGTTTACAAGTGATGCACATCACTCCACTCACTTTTTATTGGCCAGAACTAGGTCACACGGTTGCAACCTACTGCAAGAGAGCCTGAGAAATGTAGTTTTCCTGTGTGTGCAAGAGGAGACACGAGTAGCCAGTCTGTGCCAGAAGGGGCTTCAAAATAGGAAAAGAAAAGTGCAAACTCAAAATTAACAAATGTTTAATTAAATGTCTGCAAACAGAATGTTGGGCCAACTGGACTACTTCAACTCAATTTAACTCTTCAATAATTATATGAAAGTTATTTTTTATGTGAATTGTCAGTGCACGTTGCTCAACTTGCTCTGCTGTGCAGTGGGACCTCCAAAATTCAGGAAGGCCAAGGGACCACATTTCTTCTTTCCCCTTTTTCCTTCTCATCCCTCGCCAGTCCTCTGATAACTGCCCTCATCCTACTTTTCTCTTTCCCCCCATCTAGGATTACTAAGAGAAGAGGTCTTGGACTGTTTACATTGCCAGAGGATCAGTCCCAAATGTATCCCCAAAAAATACTGCTTTGGTAAGTTTCTGGGACATGGGACAGTGGATGAGAGGTGACAGCTATGACCCAGTGGATATGGGTTTTGAGGCTTCCCACATGCAGCTTTGAATCCTGCACTTACCATTTGCTTACAGTGTGGCCCAGAAGTGACTTCCACATTCTGAAATTCACTTTCCCCTTGCTGTTCCTTGGGAAGACCTCTCTGGAACTTTACAATGCCCCTAACACCAGAATGGCAGGTGCTAGAGAGACATTTTATTCTTAGCCATTGTGATACCTAGAGAGTCTGGAAGGATGTGCTGACTCACTCATTTACTCCATTGGTTAATTCATAGAATTAAAAAATATATATCTTTATAGCAGAGACAATAGTACAATGAATCCACATATAGCCATCAAGGTTAATAGTCAGGGCTGGGCAGCTGCTTCAGTGGGTTAGAGCACAGTCTTGTAACACCAAGATCAAGGGTTAGGATACCTGGACCGGCAAAAATAAAAATAAAAAAGAAGATAGAAAGATTGATGGTCACGCTGGACCATTTCACATTGCTCCCTCTCTCTGTCACATTGTCCCCTCATTCCCTCACAGTCCCCTCACTCCCTCACTTCATTTGTCTCCTCAGACAGGCATCTCTGACCACACTCTCTAAAGTAGCACTTTCTATCCAGTTAAGTTAACGATTAACATTCTTCCACATTTGTTTCACCTATTTTATTTTATTTTTTTATTTTTTTATTTTTTTAATTTTTTTAAAAAGATGACCGGTAAGGGGATCTTAACCCTTGACTTGGCGTTGTCAGCACCACGCTCAGCCAGTGAGCGAACCGGCCATCCCTATATGGGATCCGAACCCGTGGCCTTGGTGTTATCAGCACCGCACTCTCCCAAGTAAGCCACAGGCCGGCCCTACACCTATTTTATTTTTTGCCATTGCATTTTAAAAGAAATCGCAAACATCATGCAATTTCATCCACACATAGTGTGTACCTCTAAAAGTAAGGGCATTTTTGTACATAACCACAATGTCATTACCACACCCAGAAAACCTCGTGATGGGGCCGGCCCGGTGGCGCACTGCTACTGTGCGCCGCTTGGGAAGCGCGGTGGCCCTCCCGCCGAGGGTTCGGATCCCACATACAGACCGGCCGCTCACTGGCTGAGCGTGGTGCTGACAACGCCAAGTCAAGGGTTAAGATCCCCTTACCGGTCATCTTTTTAAAAAAATTTAAAAAATAAAATAATAAAAA